GAAGAAGAATCTTGACGACTTTATCACGTGACATAAGGTAGTTGTATCAGCATTTACATATTTAAGTGTGCCCTATTTTTATATACTTTCCTTTTATTCCTCCTTTTTCATTGCATTTAGTATGTTAATATTAAGTTTCTGAAGCTATGGATATGGGTAGCCTATAGCGTACATGACCTTGACTTCAGATGGTCATGTAAGCACTATGAAATACTGGATGTTCAAATGGGCAGATTAGGTTGAACAGGAAGTGCTCCTCTGCGATATTCCTCCAAAACTCAGCTCAGCCATCGCACAGAGGAAGACTTTCCCAAACCCCAAAATGACGTCAATCATACCTTCTTCTCTACTTCTGTTCGCGGTTCGTATCTATTGTTTTTGTCACACTGTACGATAATTTATATGCTTATGTGTCAGTCTCCTCCTTTTTTGCTGACAGCTCCTCGAGGAACCCTAACTTTATCCCTCCTTAACGACGGTGTGGGATGCCCGGCACATACTTATGCCACGTGACTCTTAATGGAATGGATGTGATGTGATGTTAATTTCAACAGACACGTTCAGTGAAACACACCGTCACGATGTACTGCAACTATCTTAGTAACTTCCCGAGTCAAACCTTTCAAAAGCAAGAGTGATAGGGAGCCTGGGTGGCTCAGTCAGTCGGGCATCTGGCTTCAGCTCAGGTCATGATCTCTCAGTCTGTGAGTTCAAGCCCCACGTTGGGCTCTGTGCTGAAAGCTCAGAGCCTGGAGCCTGCTTCGGAATCTGTGTCTCCCTCTCTCTCTGCCCCTCCCCTGCTCACACTCTGTCTCTGTCTCTCTCTCTCAAAAATAAATAAACATTAAAAAAATTTTAATAAAAAAAGCAATAGTGATATAATTATGAATGAATGATGGAATCACCACATTTTCACTTGTATATCTACCTACAGAAATGAATTAAATTAGCTTTTCTAAAAAGTGATTTGATTATAATATCTAAGAAACATTCTACAAGGAATCAAATGCCCCATTTATCACAGAGAGTCGCTTTAACAAAGATACCTCCAAGACTCCACATTCCAACCAATGTTCTTTGATCTGCCAGTTTAGTAAAAGCTGGAAAAGTTGCCAGTACAGGGACATTGCTTTCCTAAGAAGGAAAGCAAGAGTAGACCTGAACAGAATTTCTTTAAAAAAAAAAAAAAAAAAAAAAAAAAGGAATGGGAGGAAAGGACATTTTATATTTAAGCTAGATGGTAACTTCTTGTTTTTGATATTGCTATTTTTCTCCCAAATAACTTGAAGAAATTCAGAAAATTGCTAGTTGCTTTAATAACAGTATCAAATCACACTCAGAAAATGATGAGAAGAAGGTCAATTGACTGTTCTCCTAGCAGGACCACACCCAAAACACCCTACGTGAATTTACACCTATAATAATTTCTATGTAAATCAATTATCTTTAATATTTTTTTTTCAACGTTTATTTATTTTTGGGACAGAGAGAGACAGAGCATGAATGGGGGAGGGGCAGAGAGAGAGGGAGACACAGAATCGGAAACAGGTTCCAGGCTCTGAGCCATCAGCCCAGAGCCTGACGCGGGGCTCGAACTCCCGGACCGCGAGATCGTGACCTGGCTGAAGTCGGACGCTTAACCGACTGTGCCACCCAGGCGCCCCCATTATCTTTAATATTTTAAGGAAAGGTGATTCCACAGCCAGCATGCCCATCCGGAATTACGCAAGCTTGGGGAGGGGGAATAAATTTGTTTTTAAGTTGCATTTCAGACACAGTGCTGAACACTCCAGCATTCATTATCTTTGTCCTCAAAATAACCTTGCAAAAGAGGTATGATTATTTGATTTTCTTCACTTTTTTTTTAAAGCTTATTTATTTATTTTGGGGGGAATGGAGGAGGGGCAGAGAAAGAGGAGAGAGAGCATCCCAAGCTGGCTCCAAGCTCAGCAAGGGACCCACTCGGGACATGAGTCCATGATCCAGGGATCATGACCTGAGCTGAAATCAAGAGTTGGACACTTAAACAACTGAGCTACCCAGGAGCTCCTTCACTTGTTTTTAAAAAGATGAAATGATGGGGCACCTGGGTGGCTCAGTCGGTTAAGCATCCAACTTCGGCTCAGGTCATGATCTCATGGTTCATGAGTTCAAGCCCCACATCAAGCTCTGTGCTGACAGCTCAGAGCCTGGAGCCTGCCTCTCTCTCTGCCCCTCCTCCACTCGTACTCTGTCTCTCTCTGTCTCTTGAAAATAAATACATGTTAAAAAAATTTTTTTAAGTAGGTGAGGTGATAAAGAACTGGGGAGGTGAGGAATCTTGTGGCAAAACTGAGTTAGAGTCCATACTACCTGCCTCCAGAGTTTACTACCTTCCTGTAAAATCAGGGTAGCTCTCAAACATTTGAAAAAAAAATTTTTTTTTAAATGTTCATTTATTTTTGAGAGAGACAGAGTGTGAATGGGGGAGGGGCAGAGAGAGAGAAAGAGGGAGACATGGAACCTGAAACAGGCTCCAGACTCTGAGCCGTCAGCACAGAGCCCAATGTGGGGCTCAAACTCACGAGCTGTGTGATCATGACCTGAGCCGAAGTTGAACGCTCAACTGACTGAGCCACCCAGGCGCCCCACTCTCAAACAGTCTTGAATGTCAGCTTTGTTGTTGTGCGGGCCATCTGGTGTCATTTTAGAAAAGAATTCAACCTGAACCAACGTCCCTTGTTATCTCCAATCTTTCACCGACTCCCTCTGATCTGACTTCTGTGCCAATGCTTTGGCTAAATGGCTGTCTATCAGTCAGAGGAGTTTCTTTTTCGCCTTTACCTTTCTTGGCCCCTAACTTATAATTTAATGGTATCAACCACCCATCCTTGGTGGACCACTCTTCTCCCTTGACTTCAGGGATCCTCCACTATTCTGGGCTTTTACAAGTTTTCCATGACTTGTCTGTTTCTCGTCCTGCGTCTTCTGTCCTCTCTGACCGCCTCGCTGCGTCCCTTTCCCAGAGTGGAGCGGAAGCCTGGCTTCCTAGTTCCATGCTGCCTTCCTGGAAAGAAAACAGCACTTCTTCTGACTGCAGAAGCAGTCCTTTGCTGTCTCCGCTCTGGGCTGCTCTCTTCTCGCTGGAGCCCTGTTCCAGCCTTTGCTCACCTGTCCGCCCTGCTGTCACCCAAACTAAACCCCTACCTTACAACACAGGGTCTTCTCCTAATCGAACTGACATTCTTTGGGCTTAGAGCTTAGCACAGGAAAAATACAATAGTATATAATTAAGTGCCCAATGGGTACTCCAACTATGACTCTTCCTTCCCCCTTTTTAAAGAAAATGACTTCTTTAAAATTTAAGACAAGTTTTAAACTTAAAAGTTCTTGCCCCAGCTTGTGATTTCCGTCTCTATACCCTCCTTACCTAACGGTAACCTCCCCCTGGGGTCCTAACTCCAGACTCTCCGCTCACCATCTACCTGCAGTGCTGATTCCATATTAGTCTTCCGTAAATGCTGCTCTCATCATATTACTCAGTGGAAAGCCTTCAATCCTTCCTTATTTTCAACTGCATAAAATCTGAAGTCATTAATCAGACTTTTCAAGATTCTTTGTGATCTGGGTGTATCTCCACGTAGGCGATCTTATTTCTTGCTACTTTTTCACAATATTCCTCTCAAAAAAAAAAAAAAAAGGCAGTCCCTTCACCCCTTCAAGACCACACATATGCCAACGTCCATACTCCCCTTCTTTTTATGTGTACTTTGCCTGGAATGCCTTCTCTCCTGAGAATATGCTTTCTGGCACCCTATGAAGCCTTTCTTTTTTAAAAAAAATTTTTTTTAACGTTTACTTTTTATTTCTGAGACAGAGAGAGAGACAGAGCATGAATGGGGGAGGGTCAGAGAGAGGGAGACACAGAATCTGAAACAGGCTCCAGGCTCTGAACTGTCAGCACAGAGTCTGACAGAGGGCTCGAACTCACGGACCGCGAGATCACGACCTGAGCCGAAGTCGGACGCTTAACTGACTGAGCCATCCAGGCGCCCCTGAAGTCTTTCTTGTTCAAGCCAGATCATCATGAACTTTCCTCCCTTTTATTTTTTTTTTAATTTTTTTTTCAACATTTATTTATTTTTTGGGACAGAGAGAGACAGAGCATGAACGGGCGAGGGGCAGAGAGAGAGGGAGACACAGAATCGGAAACAGGCTCCAGGCTCTGAGCCATCAGCCCAGAGCCCGACGCGGGGCTCGAACTCACGGACCGCGAGATCGTGACCTGGCTGAAGTCGGACGCTTAACCGACTGCGCCACCCAGGCGCCCCTTTCCTCCCTTTTAAACTTGCACATTGCTTCGAGCCTCTATCCAATGCATTAGCTGGCCCTTCAATATTGACTGTCCTGAACTGTTTATTGTAGATTTGCATGCGTCACCCACTACTTTAACAATCAGATTTAAGTTCCCTTGGGCACAAATCTTGCCACACTTGTCTTCCACCCCAAAGCGTTGTAGAATACACTGGCTGATACTAGTTAGACAGTTTAATCTGAAGTCATCGAGCCTGATGGGTATAGTAACTTAATATTAACGAGTCAGCAAAAATTCAGCTTCCTTTTAATGGGATTTCAGAACTAAGTTATTTTCTACATCTAAAGGTCATATGGACAGTAAAGATACAAACTTTATTCTAGGATTTGCCAAAGGTCTTTTGAGTGTCTCTTTCCATACAACCCACCTTTCCACTGATCATCTCTCAACAAAGTATGAATGAAGAGGGAATCTTAAAGCTAATGTTATAAGCCACATGCAATCTCTGGCTCATCCATCCATATTAAAGATTAACTTGAGATGAAGATAGGACATCTGTAATAATAAATGTTATATCATTGAAGAATATGTCATTTTAACCACTAGCGGTACTCAACATTTCGTGACTTCCTGAATGGTGCCAACTGGCATGTATCATATTAAAGTCCGGGTTAGAAGACTCTGTTAAGAAATACAATGGCCTTACCTTTACATAATCATATATGCATCTTTGTGCACTACTTGGTGCCTCCAGAGCAAATGTTTTGAAGGTGAGTTTAATCACTTTGTTTACAGGTGCAACTATGAACCATACACAGTTTAAATTCTTGTCATATCTTCCATTGGAGTCAGAATCAGGAGAGGCAAAGGTATCGCTTGAACCTGTCAGATAACCACCACATCCTTGCTGAGGCCCTGTGTTAAAAACAAAGACACATCACTATGCAGACCAAAGGGAATAGATCTTAAATTTTACAGGGAGGGTTTTAAAAATCATATAGTTTCTAGTTCGGTCACACGTGCATGGACATTATCAGATGGTGCCCGGAGCTTCAGGTGGACGCTATCAGATGGCTTGTGCGGGTGTTGTTCCCACCGTATTAGCTTTTTTGTTCCATATTTCCTTTCTGCTCCTATCACTGACACTTTAGTCCCCGTCTAGTCACCTAGGAAAGTGGGGAATTGTATTTAGTTTTATGGGCATTCCGAGAACTGTGGATGGGATTTATTGAAGTTTTTCCTATACTTGAAAAAAATCCAAAAAAAAAAAAAAATCCAATTTTATAGAAAATAAAGTATTTTGCATAACAAAACTTGTGGAAAGCATGACCATATTTTACTTTTATGTTCTGCGTTTATGAACACTATCAGATGGAAAACTGAATTTATGAAGAATTTACCTAGCACTCCAAGAAAATTGGTTCTCAAGAAACCTTTTACTAAATAATCTGTCAGAAAGAGGCTGAGGGGCATCTCATCTAACACTATCTAATACATACTAACACTAACACATCTAACACTACTAACACTCATCTAACACACATCTAACACTAAGGTCCAGTTTATATTAAAACACACTACATATGTGATTTTTATTCCAAAAAGAAAGGGAAACTGAAAAGGAACTTAATTGGGAAAAAAAAGTCCACTTTGAAATTCATGATAAAAATACAAAAGACAGATAAAGAATACTCTCAAGATGACAGAAAGTTCTACTACAAAAAAATATAGAACAACATTATCAGAACATAGGACTTGGTTTTGTCCATTTCACAGTCCAAGGCAATTACTTCAGAAGTGACGTCAGAAGAGAGTAAAAGGAAGACAAAGTTATTGACGATTTTGAAACCGTGCACATGAGCTAAATTCAAAACAACCCTAGTAGGAATCGGGATTAAGTGGTCCAAAATAGTGTTCATAAAGCTTACATTCTGCACAAATATAGATCATTATTAGTTCCAAAGTTGAATCTCACTGACCCTGGCCTTTCATTTATCCATCTCATTGTATTTATTGATCTGTTAACAGGGAAAGGATTGCTTTCGACATTAGGGGGCACTAATATTTTGGACTTGGAGCTCGGCAGGAAGTGGAAACACAGCAGCCCTCCTGAAATGAGGAGGGTATCAGTTGTGCAGTGTTTCTCAGTACAGGTGCATTATTTAGTAGGTCAGGCTGCCCTGTCCAGAGCTTCTAAGTCAGGTAAAATGATAGATTATTTGCACAGTCAGATGTTTCCTAGAGTTGAAATGCATCCAAAGGCCCAATCCCTGATAAACCCATAGATGGTATCTAGGACAAAATTATTCTGAAAAGAAAGCAATGCTCAGGGCTGAACTGCATATTGCTAATGATTCTGCTTGCGTGAAACAGGCCCACAAACTAAAGAAAGAGCTGGAATTTGCACAGCTTTTGTATCCAATGTGGACTGACTGTTACTTAAGAAAACCACTTAACCTGGGTGCCTGGATGGCTCAGTCGGTTAAGCGTCCCCCTTTGGCTCAGGTCACGAACCATGGTTTGTGAGTTCGAGCCCCGCATTGGGCTCTGTGCTGACAGCTCAGAGCCTGGAACCTGCTTCAGATTCTGTGTCCCCCTGTCTCTCTGTCCCTCCCCTGCTCATGTTCTGTCTGTCTCTCTCTCTCAAAAATAAATAAACATCAACAAAGGAAAAAGAAAACCACTTAACCTGATTGACACGCAAAACAGGGAAGAACAACTTCCCCTAACAGGGAGAGTTAGGGTATTAATGAACTGACAAATGTATTTATTAACTATTGTTTTAATAGTCAAAAGAAACATATTCAACATTGGGGGGGGGAAAATAAATGGTAGTCCAACAGCAGTGACAAGACAGATAAACGACGATAATACAATTCAGAAAATAATAGGTGCCATATAAGAGGCAGGAAAGTCTTGTGAGTTCTGCAGGAAGGGAGAGACTACTTCAGGCTGTGAAGGATGTAGAACGTCCAAGAAAGAGGTGACATTTGATTTGGGTCTTGAAGGATAAACAGGACAAGACCGTGTGGAAATGGGATTGGCATTGGCACTTCTAGGTTCCTTCAGAACTTCACAACCAAAGGCGAAGTGTACAAGGATTTGCATTATATGCATGGGAAAGCATGGTTCTGTTAGTAACAACGATAGAGTCCATGAAGGAGAATAACACGACTGGGAAACAGGACTCGCTGTTCTGGAGAGGGCCTCAACTGTCAAGATCATTGAGTTTGACCTTGAGAACCGTGTGCATTCTGTGCATAATGGGGATGCATTTGAAAGGTTTTTGACTAGAAGAGTGGGAGGGTCAGAATGCACTTTCTAATCACATCTGATGGAAACCCTATCTGGTGGTAGCATCTCACGCAAGGGAGCAGGACGGATGGAGGAAGATAAGACCAGGAGAGAGGACACGTCAATGGCATGGGCTTGGGAGAAGAAGGGTGTAACACGTGGAGGTTTGTATGTGGGAAACTGGTGTTGCTGGGCTTTATTCTGTTACTGCGTCAGCTTTAAAAATTAACTGTTATTTTTTAAAAGCTCCAACTGTCTTAGTACCACTTGTGTATTCATTGTTACTAACGGATTAATAAGGGCAAAATGACGACTGTACTTGGGCGGAGTGGGGGCTCTTATACACACTTAATATTCAGCAGTACTGGTGCCCCCAGGACTAAGGTCATAAGACAGACACACCCTCCCTCCAGGGAACCCAAAAGCAAACACACAAAATTCATTGGTGTGGGCTGTCACAGACTGACTGATCGAATGGATGATTCTTAACTCTTTAGCCTCTCTCTTTGCAGTTCATTAGAATGGACAGGGTTTACTTCTCTGTGCTCTGATGTGAGGCTTGGCCAAGTGACTTAAGAATATTAATGGGCTGGAAGTAGGAAGGGGTCTGAAGTGGGCTTTGTGGTTTTTGGCTGGTGCTCCTGTGTGCCATCCACCGGGAGCTCATGCCCTAGGTAGCTTCTGATGAAAGACAAAGTGGGGTCACATAGAGCAGACTTGAACACGCCCTGAAATATAAAGCCAAGTGCCATCCTTCTGCGGCCTGGAACAGGCAGACGACGAGTCTGCTGAGCCCCAAGTGACAACAATAAATGCTGTGGGGATAAGCGCTGAATTTGGGTGATTTGTTATGCAGCATCGCTGTGGCAATAGCCGACCAAAACACAAAAAGCTGGTTCGAGTTATTAAACTGTAATAGAGTGCATTGCTTAATTCACAGAATATACCAGAATTTTAAAAAAGGAGAATTAACACGGTCTTCAGACAATCCAGGCCAAAATATTCAAATAACTGAAGTAAGCATAATATTATGTGAATGAATTCTATGATTCGTACTATATTTGAATAATATGATATACTCAAATATACTATATTTGAGTAATATATTAATATGAGTGAATATAATTGACATAAGTATAATATTATATGAGTAAACACCTTTCGGTGTTTGTTTGGTGAAGGAAATGGTTATAGTTGCTCTATCCCCCCACTTTAGTACTTAAACATGGTACAACTGTTCTGTGCTTCTCCTCCTCCTACAGCATATGGAACCATAAATGTTTGTATTTGGGGAAATATAGAGAGAAATATTAACCAAGAAGGATCCTTTACCAAAAACGTGCTTTGCCACACTACCAGTTCTGTATTTCTTTTTTTTTTTTTTTTAACATTTAATTATTACTGAGAGACAGAGCGTGAACAGGGGAGGGGCAGAGAGAGAGGGAGACACAAAACTGGAAGCAGGCTCCAGGCCCCGAGCTGTCAGCACAGAGCCCGATGCGGGGCTCGAACTCACAAACCGCGAGATCATGACCTGAGCCAAAGTTGGACGCTTAACCAACTAAGCCATCCAGGCACCCCCCCAGTTCTGGATTTGTATAGTTCAGCAAAAACATGACATAACACGAAGAACTCAGTGACTGTGAAATAGTTTCATACACAAGAAATTAATATCTGTTTACTATATTCATATTTTTAAATCTCCCTGTCCTTTTTAACTAGTATCAACCCTTAACCTTGACATGTCGTTTAGCACCATAAATCCATCATCTTCCTTGTTACTACACACATTCTACCATCCAGCAAACTCTCATCCATCAGCACCCAGTTCATCAGTCATGTCCTGTCAGAAGTGCTCTATAACGACACTCCCTATGCCTGAGAACAAATGTCACTCCAACCGTCTTCTCCACATTGGAAACACTTCCTACAAAAGAGCTACTTCTTTAGAGAAAGAAAACGTTTGGCTACAGAAATAGTGGAAATATAAACCCATTGTAAGCAGTGAAATGTGGGTTGAGCTCTATTTAATTAAAAATCAGTAACCGAATCCTAAATTATTTCCCTCCAGGAAATTAAACCTCAGAATGAAGCTCAAGCCAGGATAAATCTGACAAAGCAAAATAGTTATATTATCTAAGACAAAACGTCTTGAAGCCTTTAGTGGGGACAGATACATTTCTAAATAGTTATCATGAGGATTGGCACTTTTGTGGCTGACGTTACATTGTGGCTGACATGCTATGGAGGTCTTCTGGATAGGATCTCTGCCTGCCTCTGGACGGCTACCAGTTGGACACATGGCAAACGGGAAGCCATACTTACAGATAAAGACTGGCCTGACTTCAGGCATTTTCCTGTTCCCCAGTGAGCCAGCTGGGGCTTTAGCCGGTAGTTAAAGGAAGCAGATACAAGCACAGGAAACCGAACACAAACCCTTTAAAGCTGGTGCTTCAGGGAAATGGGGGTGTACCAGATTAGCTTCCCTTCAACCACACAGGACACAGGGCTAGTGCTCCAGAATCCTTTCTTGGAATAAATCTCAGTGTGATTTTCAAAGCTGCATTATTCAATTGCCCTAAAGCCATGAATTCATTTTTAAAAATGCAGCTAGGTTCCAG